TATTATTAGCAACCTCACAATTCCTAGAATAAGATTCGCAGAAACAAAGTTTCACATATCTACATACAAAGATAGTATCTTTATATTTAACTCGTCCGCTCCGGCGTCGGGCAGTCTGGCGGCTTTGTAATTATCGCCATTAAGTGCACTCAAGATTCAGGATATAAAACAAAAAGGCCGTAACCTATATTTGGGCAGCTGCATCGCCAAATTTGAACGGAAGGAGTTCATTAAATGCTGTCCATGTAGACTTTATGAATATCGTTGCTCCTTTCAAAACATACATGTAATATGTATGTATTAACAAAAATAATTATGTATGTACTTGTACTAGTTGTAATTAACTTAAATAATTGACTTTATGTACGATTTCGAGTGACTGTTTATTTATTCCTTTGAAATGTTACACATTTATTAGAAACATCTTTTTACTCGTAATATAAGTTTACAACTAAAGCATTTCGATTTACTTAAATACTTCAGGCAACCATAAATTTTGATGATCTTTTGGAGGATTACTTACATCGATTTTGATAATTTAAGTTTTATTAGCGATAAATATTCCATATATAATAACAATTCAATTCTCATTAAATAACAAGAGAATTGAATTGTTATTAAACACGTTTCTTTCATTTAGTGTAGACAACTCTATAGCTATTAGTCTTATTTCAGTAAGTAAAATTTTTTTGCACTTACAAAATATATAGGCATGACCACTGTTTATGTACTCGTACTAGCAGTACCCGCGGCTTCGTCCGCGTCCAATACTCTTAAAATTTCATCCAAATCGGTCCAGTCCTTTAGGAGGATAAACAAACACACGTACAGAAGAATTATATATATTAAGATATTGCTATTTAATATTCAGTAATGAAGTCCGCAATAGATAACCGTTTTGCCTAATTTGAAAGTACCGAGTGCTTCATATGCGATCGGGCACCGTTTATTACACCGAGTACGTGATGAGATAGCGTCTATATTATAGCTTACCCTTATTTGGATTCAATGGAGGTAATTTGTCGTCATCATCGATGCATCAGTATGCATTGCAACGTTATCAGATAAGCGTTGACCCGATTGTTCTTTGAAAGTATTCGGATGTTTCTGCAAACTTTCTCTTGTAATTGGTTTTATATAATACTTTTATGATTAATTGTTTGTCCAAATAAGGATATTATCGTGGGAATCAATTTATCAATTTTACATTGAAATTCAAAAGCTTGTAGCTAGAAATAGTAGATACCTATCGAACGCAGTATTTTTTATATTATTTACTAGCAGGTCACCCTCGCTTCGCTCGGGCTCGCCTCTAGGAAAGGACAAACAGATCTATCCCACGGGAACCGTTCATTTTTCCGGAAAAGAAAGTAACCTGTTGTTTGACCGGCAATATGAGATATCAGCATGCCAAATTTCACTAAATTAGGTGCATAAGTTGTTGTGTACTAAGCTGTATAAGTTACTATAGTTTTTTAACTATTCCACGGGAACTGTTTAATTTTCCGAGATGAAAAGTATCTAAATGTTGACCGGGAATATAAGGTACCACCATGCAAAATTTCATTGAAAATTAGTCACATAGTTTTGGAGATTAGCCCGTACAAACAGACAAACAAAAAAATTGAAAGTTTGGATTTGCTCTATTTCTCTTTTTGCATCCCCCTGACTCGGTTTTTAGCATTTTTTTTCTATGTATAGACATTCGACCTTTACAGTTTTATTATATGTATAGATTAACGTTTGCAAATATAGACGAATAAATATATATATATATATATATATATATATATATATATATATATATATATATATAAAACTTGAATTTTGAATACAAAAAACTATCATGTTCCTACATATTTTTATATAATACGAATAAAGGAATTCCTTGACACTGAAAATAATTTGTCTGTCGCGTCGCGTTGGACGCACAGAGCGTGTCGCGCACGCGTCTCACTCTGCCAAACTCAACACTTCCACACTTCCAGCCAGACCCATTGTTATTTGTTACATAATGTATAGCTTCTGTCTGCCTTTTATTATTGTTCCTGTATTATAATAGTCCTTCTAGGCTTTTTTTCCATGGATTTTAATTATGGTCTGGTAACCTCATGGATTGATATTACCTTTCTACATAGCAAATTATTTATATATTTAGGATCGTCAACAGAAAATTTATTATCACATCAACTTTCAAATTAAGCTATTAGTACAATGAGTAAATGCTTTTCTATTTAGACAATCACAACATGCACAATATAGTAAAAGTAAAGATTGTTAAAACTTATTTGTTACATTCTCATCTATACTAATATCATAAAGAGGCAGTTTGTTTGTTTGTTTGAACGCGCTAATCTCATGAACTACTTATGCGATTTGAAAAATTCTTTTCGCAATAGATAGCCCGTTTATCGAGGAATACTATCGGCTATTATATATTATCATCATGCTACTACACCCAAGGGAGAGGAGAAGTAATCATAAATGTCAACAAATCGGTCTGTCTGACTTCCATACATTATTGTATAACTGATATTATTTAACTGCTAATTACATTATATTATAAATGTCATACAAAAAAAAAATATAACAAAACTTTAGAGAATAATTTTATTTTCATATATTAATTTCATAAATTAGAAAGTTTATTATTATGACTAGCTTTTGCATAATTAAGAATTGTGTATCGCTTTTTAAACACAATGTTTCTAAAATTAGTGTTTATGCAAATTAAATCATCGCGAGCCAACTTACTATTTCTCTTACTTTGTAGTTTATATCAACTATGACTCAAACTTACCTAACAGTTACCGAATATAGGATGAAGTAAAATTTTTAGCAGTAATACTTACCTTCCTGTTGGTTGATTTGATCTCACTCAAAACATGTATTTTGTAGTGTACTTTGTAGTGATCTACTTGCTGTGCCAGCGGTCGCGGGTTCGAGTCCCGCTGGGGGCATTCATTTGTGTGACTAGCACGAATGTTTGTACTCCAGTCATGGGGGCTTATATTTATAATATGTACGTATTTAAAGTTATATATGTGTAATGTATCAAACTATCTGGTATCCATAACACAAGTCTCGTAGCTAGCAATGGAACTAGATGGTGCTGTGTGTTAATGTCCCGACATATGTATATTATTTATTTAATTATGTCTAGTAAGTACCGAAGTATCGTTTACAGCTTTATACCATTAGTGCGACATCCGCGCCGTGTAACGATGATAATTAAGTTAAGCTTCATAACTCGGTTTTCTAACTTCGTGTTGTGATATAATAACACTCAGTAGAATTTAATGTCGTTTAATGTTGTATGCACAGAAAGTCAAATAAAAAGGGATGCAAAATAATTGTATATCCGGTACTTTCAGTTTTATCCACATAATAATCGATATAACTAATATTTAAAACTTAAGAAATATATGTTTGAGAATCTTTGCTTTATGTGTTTTTTCGATACATTAGTTAAATATAAGCGAGAGGGAGTGTAGAATATACTTTTTTCTCAGTCGAGGGGCTAAGACAAACTACTGCCGCTCCACGTTTTACCTATTTCGATTTTGTTGGTAACTCAGTATGTAATTCAATCTGTTTTTCGGACATATTATTAATTCTAATGCAACTTATCAATGTTCGTAAGTTCTAAATATATTTTTAAATAATAAATATATTGGAACAATAACACACAGCACCATCTAGTTCTATGGTAAGCTACGAGGCTTGTGTTATGGATACCAGATAGCTGATACAATACATAAACTTAAATGCATCTATACATATAACAAAATTGTAGCTGAGTCGAATCTGTACATTAATATTTTTTTTAAATCTTATTGAAATAGTCATAAATAATTATTATCAATACACAGGCCCAATTTATAGTTTTTAGAATTTTTGTCTGAATTTTTGGCTTTCTGTCTGAGAACATATCAAGAAAGAAAACCACTGAACATTTTTTGATGAAAATGAAAGAGCGGAGCGAGGGTGAGTCGCTATTATAAATAAAAAAATATACTTATACAACTTAAACACGGCATACAAACAAAAAATACTAAGGGAAAGAGTTTTGACGTTTTACTTTGTAAATATAAAACTATTCGCCAAAACTTTTCGAATGCTTTACAGCAAACATGGTCACGGGACCGTGTTCGGCGTAAAGTATTTGAAACCGGAACCAAAATATAAAATACAAACGCAACAAAATCCGAAAAGTTTCACTATAAATATAAATATGTTGGGACATTAACACACAGCGCCATCTAGTTCCATGGTAAGCTACGAGGCTTGTGTTATGGATACCAGATAGTTGATACACTACACATATATAACTTTAAATACATACATATTATAAATATAAACACCCATGACTAGAGTACAAACATTCGTCATCACACAAATGAATGCCCCCAGCGGGACTCGAACCCGCGACCGCTGGCACAGAAAGTAGGGTCACTACAAACTGAGCCAAACGTGTCGTCAATACTATAAAATGTTAAATATTCGCGTAAATCTAAGAAAGTATAAATTGTCACAAATTTTTGTAAAATAATTGCATACACAGAATTGACCTTCTTCCTATCTATATAATTACGTGTGTTGATAATAACAGCATATCTACATAATAACTCATAAACCTGTAGTTCAATGTTGGTCGTGGCCTGTCATAGTTTTAACATACCATGAATCATGTTAAGGATTTCATGGAAAACACATAAAATGCTTTAATTTATTTATATATGTTTGTTATCATAAATTTATGTAATTGAGCTGTGTAGAGGTATTCATCATTCTAAATAGTGCTCAACTGGCGCTTTTCAAAGAAATTAATAAGATAATTTATAGAAAAACATTAAATTACTTAAATGTTAAATTTTAAATATTCGTATTTTATTTACAAAAACAGAATGAAAGTAAAAGTAGACACACACCTATATCATATACAAAATGAATATATGTATTGACATATGCATACAAGTAATTTCCGCGTATCTGAAATCATGTATGCAGATGATTTGTGTTTCGTGGCGGAAACCCCAGACGGTCTACAGCAACTAATTTATGATTTCTATCATACTTGCCTTAAATTCGGGCTAAAGATCAGTGTCAAGAAGACGGAAGTAATGTCCATGGACAGTCACGGTCGTGAGACGCTGGCCATTAATCTCGGAGAGGATTTGCTAATGCAGACTGATAAATTCTGCTACCTGGGGAGCACTATAACAACTAAGTGTGACCTTGACGCTGAAATCAGTAGAAGAATCTGTGCTGCTGCAGCAGCATTCGGCAAGCTAGATCCCAAGGTCTTCCGCTCGCACGACCTAAAACTAGCTACAAAAGTCTCTGTGTACATGGCAATAGTACTACCTAACATCTTGTACGCTGCTGAGACGTGGACTGTATACCGTCGGCATATCCGTACACTAGATCAGTTCCACCTTAAGTGCCTACGGAAAATACTTAACATTCGATGGTCTGATCGTGTACGAAACACTGAAGTACTGCGACGAGCCAATGTTCATGGCATTGAAGCCTATCTTATGCGTCGGCAGCTTCAATGGTGCGGTCACGTGTCACGTATGGCAGAGGAGCGACTGGCTAAGCGTATCCTTTATTCCGAGCTGCAAGAGGGTAAGCGAAAGCAGGGTGGTCAGATGCTTCGATATAAAGATGTACTTAAGCGTCACATGAAAAAGTGTGGCATTGAACATTCAGAATGGGAGAAGCACGCAGCTTTACGTTCGAACTGGAGAGCTCAAGTGAAGAAGAAAACTCTTAATTTTGAGGAGCGACGTCGGTTCGAGCTTGATACCAGACGCGATTATCTGAAAGCCCGACCATCTGTGGCGATCAGATACAATATTCATAATGGTGTGCTCACATGTCCACAGTGTATGCGGACCTTCTCAAAGAAGATTGGCTACAATAGCCATATGAGAGCACATGAGCGACAAATGTCGCTCCAAAGCTGAAGCAGTTGCCAAGATCGAAATCGGTCGGAGTTCATCATCAATTTCCGCGTGGAATTGTGGCAAGAATGTTGCATTCTTGCGTTGAATGCCGATTCCTCTGGTAAAAAATGCGACGCTCTTGTCACCAGTAGGGCAGAGGCGATACAAGAGGTTTTATATTTTAATATTTTAGCAATTTAAGCCCATGGGCCAAAGGTTTCTGTCGCAAACGGAATAAGTAATTTACTTAATAGCATCTTAAATAGCTAGTCGCGTATTATATTATTATACGTTCGTATTATATATTATATAAGTATACGTTTGATTTTGAAGATTGATTACTTAGATTAGATAATGATTTCTTTGAACATATCGGCGGCATTTTTTACTAATAAATTTTATTCTAATAGTCTTATCTAAACAGTATTTTTTATTAGATATTCTTGCTATTATAGTGGTTTTATTTTTAACAGCTGGATTCGGGTATACGAATTTACTTTATTCAATACTAGCGAGTCATCCTCGCTTTGCTTGGGTTCGTCCCTAGCTTGATTCCCCATACAAATTTTCATCCCCATTTTCACCCCCTTAAGGGACGATTTCCGGGATAAAAAGTATTTTATGTCCTTCCCAGGGTCGCAAACTATCTTCTTACCAAATTTCATCTAAATCGGTTCAGTAGATCCAGAGATTATCCCCTACAACGTCACAAACTCACAAACTTTACCACATAATATTAGTATAGATTAATTAAATAAATATATGAATATATGCTCTAATGAGCATAGTATTACAATTTGTGTAAAAATGACTGATCAACAACAACAATCAGTCAACTGCGTCTAAGGTCGCAGGTTTGAAGCGAGGCAAGTGTTTTTTAGGGAACAGATGGTTGTTCCGGTTTGATTGAAGTAACAGCCGTTCATTACGCATCGTCTCAAGAGAGCACGCAACTTAGAATAGTTAAAAAATTACAACTTACTTTTAAAATTTAGTTATTTAAACTAGCTTTCGCCTGTAGCTTTACGTAACCTTTGGTTAAAGGAAACCTACGTGACGCTCATTGTAGTAGCCTACTCGCCAGTGGAAGCCCCATTAAAATCTGTCTAGCTCCGAAATAAGCATATTACATATTTTCTAATTTTTATTGAATCTATGGAAGACCTATTTGAAAATAAAAGACAAATATTGAATTTTTATTTATAACTAGAATATTATTTTGGTAACGATTCAGTAATATTTAGACACTAAACCCAAAATTCTAAATAATAACTATACATCATATGCAATCACGTGCGTTATCTTCTGAAATAGAACAGTAATAAGTCACCTGCCTGGAGCTGGACATTTCGCGCTGACACCGTACTATGAGAAGCAATGCTTGGCACTTGCTACCGATTTGTGATGTCGTGCTTCTCGAGTGCCTGACGTTCAAGACTCTTCACATTCGAGTTCTAGTTTGAATCTAATTTGCATATACTTTCAATCCATATTATATAACCTTATTAATGTAATTAATGTGAAATTAATTCTGTATGTCTGTTTGTTACCTTGTCATACTTAAACCGCTAAACAGGTTTTGATGACATTTGTGGACGCAATTTCAAAATAAAAAAATGTTTTAGCGAAATTATAATATATATTTTTAATCCCGGTAAATAAAGTGTCGGTAATATCAAAATAACAGCTTTATTACTAAATGCATATGAAAATATGTACGGCACCCACTTATAAAAAACACCATTTTTTTTTTCTGTCTGTCTGTTCCGGTTAATCTGCGAAACGACTGGACATATTTTGACGGGACTTTCACTGACAGATAGCTGATGTGCTCAAAAATATTAAAACGTATGTACCTACATAGGGACGCACCCGAGGGTAAGTTGCTAGTTGAATTATGTTATAATAATAGCTCTCATTATCTCATTTAATCCTTTTCCCGGTTGCCATACGAGCAGGTCCACGAGCAAAAACAAATGGCGATGCATTGTATAATATCGCAAAATAGTTTTTGCTCGGAATGAAAATAATAAAAAAAAAAAACTAACCAACGAGCATACTTCCATATTTATAATATGATAATATAGAAAGTAACGGTCAGCATTAATATTAGTAAGAATTGCAGTGATGCAATAGTCGGAAATCAGTGTCATACCTCGTTAAAAGAATTACAGCTATGTTGGTATGTATTAATTATATTTTCCTCGGTTATTTTAAAATATTATATGGAAAAAATAGTAGAACGAAATATTGGCTTCCGAATGTTTCATTTGGCACAAACCAATATACTGACGTTTTAGATAAATTGCTAATCACTGATACTATGCGAAGGTCTTTTAATGATAAAGGGTTCATTGAAAACTAATTAAGTATTCGTGTTACTATCGCTTATTTGGTTGCGGATAGGAATTCTATTTGCTTAACAAATAACTCACATATTAGAAATACCGAAAGCACATGTTTGAATGTTGTCAGTATGTCTTTATTACATATATGTACGTACGTATAGATAGACAGTCAGACAAAAATTCCAAAAACTATAGATTCGGCCTCTGTATCGATAATAATGACTGTTTCAACAAGATTTTCCAAAAAAATATTTAATGTACAGATTCGACTCAGAATTTTATTATAAGTATAGATTATATGTAAACTAGCGGACCCGACAGACGTTGTCCTGTCTACAATGATAACAAAACTTTTTTTTAATTTGATCGCAGCGCTAACTGTCGGGACAGACTAAAATTGAAATTCGAATATTATTTAAAAGTTGACACTGCGATGGTAGCGCCGTCTGTCGGATCCAATGTAAAACATTCCAAAATCAACAACTACTAACAAATTAAAAATTAATTAAAAAAACATTGTCCAGCGGACAAAATTGTGAATCTAAACCATTCCCAGATCCCCTTGAACACACACAAAAAATTTCATCAAAATCGGTCCAGTCGTTTGAGAGAAGTTCAGTGACATACACACTCACAGAAGAATTATATATATAAAGATTAAAGAAAATTGGTCTTTTACATTTTATAAAGTAGCAAACGACGATCTCGATACGCTCGTAATGAAGTAGTTTTCACAGGAATCGTTGCACCACGTGGGCGCAGATACTAGAGATATAATTACTTGGAAATGACGACTAACAGTAAATATTAATGTTATATCATTTAATTAAATTACCAGTTTGTACTTTGTAGAAGTGACTAGTTTAGAATAGTGGATGCCTGATTAAATAGTTGTCAACAGTTCGATTACCGCTCGAATGTATAAAAAATCCTATGATATCACATATAATATATTCCATACATATTAGAATTTTTGTCTGTTTGTCTTTGCGTTTGTGCGCTTGTGCGTGCTAATCTCAGATACATTTTAACCGATTTGGGTGCGGTTTTCACTATGTATCGTGGTAAGCTTCACTTAACATTTAGCATTTGTTTTATTTCAATCGTATATAAATAAAAAAGTTATGTCGGTGGTACAAATTACGTATCGTTAGATATTAGTGTCTTAAGCTTTATATTGTTACGTTCTAGCATTTTCTTCTATTTTTTATTTATTTTTGGAAAAAAACCAATAGAACCTCTAAATTCGAATAGACATTTTCGGTAATTTTTACGTTGTTCTAGCGTATTCCCGAGGGTCCGTCCGCGTAATTATTTATTACTATTTAGTACTTACTTGTTTTATGTTTATACTTTATATTATAGCCTATGTTTTACTCCTCTGATACTATAAATATATTACCTACTGTAAAGTTTTATCAAAATCCGTTCAGTAGCTTCTGCGTGAAAAAGTAACAAACCAACACATTCTTACAAACTTTCGCATTTATTTGTGCTATTATTAGCGCAAATTGAATGTTATTGAATTGGTACTTATTTTTATGTACATATATATAAAGTACTAAGTTATAATGATTTAATAAATATGACATGCAAGTAATAATTATAATATACATAAGTATAATCTATGTTATGACTTGAAGTTATTTTGTTTCGAAGTGCGCAACGACTCCAGACGGCTTTTGTTCTCGATAGAAAAGTTCCGTTTAATAAGTATATGTATTATGTGTGTCTGCACTGTTGTGAATCGATGAAGCCGCATTGCGGCTGGTCGTGTCTAGGATACGTTGTTTTAGTTTTGTTTGTATTTTTATCACGTATTACACTTTAAAAAATTATGTAGTCATATTGTGCCTAAAGATATTTTAGGAAATAATGAAATTCATTTTATTAAGCGGAAATTGAAGATTTTTTTATTAGCTGACATAGTCGATATATTTTTGTCTGTTACTTGTGACAATGGCTCAAATGATTTATATATAATAACATTTGCTGTTTTTTTAA